ATATTTTTAATAACTGTAGTTGATGCCTAGGGAGTGAAACGTTCTATATGGATAGAGTGGATGATATATTTTTAATAACTGTAGTTGATGCCTAGGGAGTGAAACGTTCTATATGGATAGAGTGGATGATATATTTTTAATAACTGTAGTTGATGCCGAGGGAGTGAAACGTTCTTTATGGTTAGAGTGGATGATATATTTTTAATAACTGTAGTTGATGCCTAGGGAGTGAAACGTTCTATATGGATAGAGTGGATGATATATTTCTAATAACTATAGTTGATGCCGAGGGAGTGAAACGTTCTTTATGGTTAAATGGATGATATATTTCTAATAACTATAGTTGATGACTAGGGAGTGAAACGTTCTATATGGATAGAGTGGATGATATATTTTTAATAACTGTAGTTGATGCCTAGTGAGTGAAACGTTCCTTATGGTTAGAGTGGATGATATATTTTTAATAACTGTAGTTCTTCTGTAGTTGTTATAAGTGGACTTATAGATTTGGTATCTGCGATTACAATTATTCTGTATTATTCTAGAAATCCTGTATTTAAAGTAGTACTGTTCAGTAAAGACAGTAATTTACCGCATACGTTATGTGGGTCTCTGCTAGTAAATAAAAAATAATATTTACATGTTATTTACCAGAAATATAGAACAATTTCACCAGAAACTATTATTCTATAAAGAGAAAAAAAAGCAAACTTAATATTAAAGTATGACGTTATAAATAAACAGATCATTGCCGAGAAGAACAATTTACTGAATTGTTGCTGACATTTATGTCAATGTCCTCTACAACATTAGAAGCGCAGCTGTGACAAACGTAGATGTACTCACAAAAAATGAAAACGTTCACTTTCCTCCAAGGTGCAGAAAAATACCTTTATTTCAAGTGCAGTGAACGTAACATTTTTGAAACGCTATAATGTTCGCTAAAATGTTCGTACTTTTTGCGCTGGTTCTGAAGTGCTAAACAATTAATAAGCAAGCTATCCTAATGGTTTTCTTTAAGGACACAACGTTTTTAGTACTTATATTTATCAAATGGCTTAGTTTCAGACATATATATATATAACGAAACTGTCTCTGTATACTGAACGCATTTTATATACTGATTTTATGCTTATCGAAACACAGGCAATACGTGAATCTTTTACGGCAAAACATGAACGTGGAAAACATTGATCAGTTATTATGGAAATGTAACGAGTGGCCTTACAGAGTTAATATTCTATGTCACGTGGTGAAACACGACACGAGGAGTTCTGATATTACAATTAGTTAGATATTTATTGAAAAGCACATATTTGCCAAATCGCATCAGTTTTAAACTCTTCTTTTGAAGAAGGTACATCTTGAAGAAACTATCATTATTTTTCTTTATTAATAAGACAGAATTCTGAAAATATTATTGAACTGGCTTGAGCGTTGGAAAGGAATACATTCATCATGGAAAGTATTATAATTTGTGTTGTTATGAAAGTAATACGTTAGGTGAAATGTACCAAGTTTCCTAAAGTCGAAACAACCTGTAGAGTTATATAAGTCTTCTGAATACGAGTCCAAAATGTATTTTAGCCATGAATACTGAATTCATTACTGGTTTCTTAGTCACATTGTGTAAATTGTAAAGTTGGAAAGCTTTAAAAGTTAAACCCTAACATCTGGCTTTGCAGCTCGACTTTGAAATTCGGCTTCCGCACACTTTTGGTTTGAAACTTACATTCTACTTCTGTGATCAACCTACAGAATTTGAGCTCCTGGCAGAAATGAATGAATGGACAGAGGAGCAGAAAGCAATATATCTGGCAAAGAGCCTGAAGGGACAACCACTGGAAATACTTGGACAGTTGTCAGCAGATGACAAACACAACTGTAGAGCACTGGTAGCTGCTCTAGAACTTAGGTATGGAACTCAAAATCAGTCCGAAGTATCAAGATGCTGGATCACAAAGGAGTACCAGAAGCCATACAGAAGCTTTGTGGTGTGACAGGACAATGTACAAGGTTGTGGGGACCAGTGTGGGTAACTGTTGAGCTCATGGGCATGAAGGACAGATACAAAGTATACTTGCCTGACATTTAAGACCAATGCATATTAGGGTTGGACTATTTACTACCGAGGAAGTCTGTTGTTAACTTCGATAAAGTGACGTTTGGGAACAACAAATCGCAAAATTCCAGTAAGAGTTGCTGCATCTATTGATTTGCATGTCACAGCACTTAAGTCAACTACAATACCCCTTA